GGGGGGGGGGGGGGGGAAGGGAAATCAACCACAGGCAGTGTCTTGTTCTATGACAGACTGATAAAAACCAAACAAATAATCCGAAGTCACTTAAGTTGAAGTGTCTAGAGAAAAAATATGCTCTGGTTTGTCAACCAGTCTCTAAGTGGCATTAACAGGATCTGACAATTCTTCAGCTGAAGATGAAGATAAGCAAAACTATTAATTACAATAGGTTTCCTTGCTAGTTATCCTGTCTGCAGATTCATTTCTTCTCATTTACTGAGGCTCTGAAGATGTAAACTGATGGCACTTGTGCTGCAAACTGCATTGCTAGTTGCTGCACAGAGAGAAGCAATGGTAGGAAGAATAAACATTAAAGATAGTCAGGAGATACAGCCCATGAAGGGCCTGGGAGTAAATAAGGGCTTGTCTTGACATGGAAATGTGCCCCACAGTTATACTAGTAAAGCTCCTGAAACTAATACAAAATAATCGATGTTTACCCAACACACAACAGAAATAGATTTCCAGGAACACACTGAAAATAGAGGTTGGATGTGTTGACTTGACTCCTGCCCCAGTGCAGTTTGTTTACACAGGAGATGGACAAGTTTCTCAACTTGTATCTTTTAAGAGTTCATGTACAAAACTTTAAACCTGCCCAAACTCCTGAGTGGCAGTAAATTTTTACATTTCCATTTGATACTTGTACAGAGCCTTTACATACCATGTGGAAAGGGTTTAAAACAGGGTTATATTAACAAACTGTGGGTACAGTTTTCTTTAAAAATGCCTTGTCATGCTGAAGCCCCAAAATGCAGCTGTTATTCTCAGGATTTCAGGGTGAATGACAGCAAAGGAAAAAAGGCCCTGCCTGGCAAGCACTGCTTCCTTGTGATGTATAGCTTAAACCAGAGGTGTCAAACATACCGTCTTGTAGGCTGGATCTGGCTTGGAGGTGGGTGATCCTGCCCACAGGGATTCTTGCAGGCTGGACAACCCACCTCCATAGGCCAGATGCCAGAGCAGCAGTGATGATAATCTTGGGGGCTGCTGGAGCTGCTGTTTCAGTGCAGCTCCAAAACCTCAGAAGTTACCACTACTTGTTTCCTCCCCACCAAAAATCAGGTGTTTTAGTTGCTCTTGGTGACTAAAATGGACTACAGGGGTAAAGGGGGTGGAGCGGTGGGGGGGCAGCAGCAACTTTAACTCCGTGTTTGTTGGAGCTGTCCTGAAACAGCAGCTCTGACAACCGCAGGATCAACGCTGCCACTCATCAGGTCATTTGGCCCATAGGAAGTCCCATAGTTTGGATTTGGCCTATGGAGCCAAATAAGTTTGGCACCCCTGCCTTACACCAACTTTATTTTTTTTAACACAACATGGTGATTATTAAAAAAAATCAAAGCCCACCCTAGTTTGGCAACAATGTTGGCAAGTATCTGAAAATATTCTCATTACAGTATATAAAAAAAGGAAAATCCTTAACCCTGATTTTGGACCCAAAAACTGAAAGTCACCCCAAAGACAAAATTTAACAAAATATTGACAAAAAGAAGCCCTACTTGTGTCACATACAAAGCTAAGTAAAAAAAAGGCCACTGTTATTATAAGTAAGAATGTCTACATAACCAAGCTAAAATTGGTATGGATACACATTAATACCTATATCAACATTTTAATGCCAGTAAATTTCCCTGTATTAGGCAAAACTCAAGGGACTCAGCCTCTTGCTGCTAAGAGAATGAAATCTAGGATGCTGTAATCATTACTGTAAAACCCAAGTATGAAACCAAGATACTATATGAAGGCTAGTTCTGATTGGCTTATCTGAGGTGATGCCTCAATCTGCAAGTTAATCAACTTTCTACTGGAGGAGGACTTCTGCATGACTGTCACCAAGTGAGATCCAGGCACCTTGGGGCAAATTTCAGAAGTGTTTATTACTGACACTTGGTGCTAATTTTGAGGATAACTCTGCACCCAGCAGCAATCACTGAGTACAATGAGACTTGCTAGAGTTTGTCTGAAAATCTGGTCCCTTGACTTCAAACAGATAAAGGCCTGAAAGTGTCAGTAACTCAATGACACGGAAATAACTGTATGCCAACTGTCCAAATACCATCTTGCAGAGACACAGCAAGACCCTGCTGTATCAAGGAGGAGAAATCACCTTGCTTTCAAGCATCTAACATTCTCCTTGGCCCTCAACCGTTTCATATTGGTCATGCTTCTCAACAGAAGTTTCAAGCAAAAGCATTCAATAATGGCACTTGCTATGAGATGCTCTCAGTTCCATACATTAAGCAGATTAAGAAAGCAATTACAGCATTTTGAGTCACTTGCCATATTGAGCATACTGGAAAATGGAAATTTCCACTAGAACTGGAATTGCCAGTGATCCAGCCATTCTTACTTTACAATGTTCCATGAAAAACCCATGCCAACCCCAAGGCTTGTGGTTTTACTGGATCGCTCCCTTCTACAGCAACACCTCTGTTATCTGTCATCCCCCTGGAATGGGGGATGCCAGATAACAAAATATGCCAGTTAATTGAATGGCCCAGGCCACCACTTCTCCCGCTGCGTCTGGGGCATCCCGCTACCCCTCCTGCGGGGTCTGCGGGACAGGGAGGTGGGCCACACAGGCTGCTTTGCCCCAGGCCGCGGGGGCTCAGCAGCACAGGCTGCTTTGCCCCGGGCTGCGGGGGCTTGGAGAAACCGGAAGTGCCATGGTGGGCACTTCCAGTTTCACATTATCTTACAAGCCAGCATGCTGGTTAATTGAGCAGGCCAGCTTGCAAGATGTTGGTTAACAGAACTTTTACTGTACTTAGGTTTCTGTTACAAAAGATGCCTATTACTTTTTTAAAGAAGTTTTCATGTCTCCACTGCCCACAGCAGGCTTCTGAAACTCTGCAGGAAGAAAGGCTGCAGACTTTTAAGCGCAAGTTTTGCTTGTCATATGAAATTCTATTTAGATGTACCTAAACTCTAAACTTGAAAGTACCATTTCCTTTCTATTGCTTGCAATACTCAAAAAACCTGTGTGTGTCAAAGTGGCAACAGGCTAAGCCCAAACACCACAATAGCACCAGGAGCACAAGCTATACTGGAAACACTTGGAACTGCTGGGGAACCCTGAGAAAAAAGGCAAATGAGGCAAGCTGGATTAGGCTTCACCTTTGACCACCCCTACCACATATCATATCTTTCCCTCCAAGGGCAGGTGCTCCCTAATTCCTGGAGGAGTAACCTCTGCATACCCAATACATTCAGTCACCCTGAGGGCACGAACCCCACAACTCCTGGAAAAGAGTGAGGAAGGACCCATGTCTGGGCTCCGCACAACCACTCCTATGGCATACATGCCCCTGTATTCTTGGTACAATTCACCTCCAGCAGGCTTTGCTTTGCAAATTTGCTGCCCAGCAGGGGGACAGTTTCTGAGCTTCCTTGAAGTCCATTTACTATTGTTTCTTTTGACTTAATCCACTTGTTTCAAGCTTTTTTCTTCCAAATTCCAGGAGGACAGTTTTATTATTACAACCCCAAATGGCTTCAGGTTTCCTGCATGCTAACTTACCTTCTCTCCACTAGAGTAGAAGAAATAACGCAATCGGACAATGTTACAGTGATCCAACTTTCTCATGATCTGGAGCTCTCGGTTCTGAAAGACAAAAAGGAGGAGATTAGGAATTTTTTCCACAGGCTTTCCAGTGGAGGAATGTTACATACATCCTAAAGCAGCAATTCCTGAGCTATGAGTTATAGGGCCTCCCACCAGCAGCTCATGGCCATAAAATATTTGGCTTTCCACAGGCAAGTGTTTCTTCAGATGAGCAGGGAAGCCAAGAAGTGATGATGGCCACAAAAAGTTACTTCCTCAGGATCATTGCCCAAGGGCCAGAAAATATTGAGGTATACTACCTATTAGATAAAAGCTCATAAAAGACATGGATTCAGAGATGCATTGGACTGGGAAAGGAGAAGAGGAAAAAAAGTTGGGAGTCGAAGTCAGTAGCCCCTTTGCCATAAAAACTGTACATGGATTATGTTTGAGTGACATAATCATGATACATTGACAAAGCTGTGACTGTCCAAGAAAGATCTTTTATTGATCCAACTGCATGGTCAGACAAGCTTCTGAATGCAGGTGACCCAAAGATGAATACACTGCATTCAAAAGCTTAAGTCTATCCCAATCATGCACTTGGTTCAGTAAACATATCACTCACAAAATTCCTTGCCTCCCTCATGTGGATTAGTTTTGCAGATGTTGCTCCTCACTTCACTTCCTTTAGTTGCTTAAACCAATATATTAATCTGTCCGCCGAATACCTTTCTCCCTTGAACCAGAAAAGGGGAAACTTCAAGCTAGTGATGCTCAAGGCTTTGGCCCTGTGGACCAGATGAATGACATAGGACCAGTTTATGTGCTACATCAGGCCCGCACCACCCTGCACACAAAGCTACAGACTCATGGAGAGTCCCATGGGCTGGATGACAGCGCTGGGAAACAGATCTGGCCCACAAGCCAGGGGTTGAGCACCTGAGGTCTAAGGGGCATACAGCTAGCAACTTGGGCAATCAGGAAACTGCCCAATTTGCAGGATGGTTAATCCTTTTCTACCCCAGCTCAGCCACTGTTAGTGCCCTAAAACTGACAGAGACCTGGTGATTTTAAGTATGCCCCTACAGGCAAGGTACTTTGAAAAACAGTATCATCAATCTTAATGAAGTGTGAACAGCTGGACACAGGTTAAGAGCTGGCTCTGAGTAACCAAGCCAGGAACACTTGAAAAAAAGGGTAAGAAGCTGCTAGCAGGATGCTTCCACATGAATGGTTCAATCAGCTTAGCTGTGCCACTTAAATCACTAGGATTTGGCAAATGGCTACGGCTATCTGCATTATTTAAATTTCTACCCCTCTTATCCACAAGTAGTTTTGGTGATTTATAGTTTATTATTAAACATGGAGGCTAACAATAATCAAGTTGGCTCTCAACCACCCAGGGTACTGCTGAAAGGAGAGGCCACAAAATGGCATCATCAAACTTGGGACTTAATTTTCAGCTAGTTTCTTTTAAATCTCAAATAGGATGTGACAACGGCTTTTGTCTGAACAAAGCCAAAGCTTTAAATTCTTTGTACAGTAGAATGGCAGTGGTTTCATAGTCAAAATGGCAATGGAGTTTTGGAAGGAATTTTTAAAATGTAAATATGGCAACAAAAACAACCTGACTTGAATTTTCCAGGTTGGTTTGGTGCCAACTGGAGAGATTCACTTAACTCACCAAATATGGTAATTTAAAAAATGGTATCAGGGTGTCACATTTCTTTAGATTGTTTTTAACAAAAAAATTCAGAGTTCAGAGGAGCAGGGTCTTTTGCATCACTGTTTGCTGTAGACAAGTTAAATAGGACAATATCACTCAAACAGCTACCCTCTCTTTGTCTAGCTACTACTGCGTAAGTAAATTGAATTGGTAACTTGAACCAGTTACCTGTTTAGCCTAATACTCAGTTCCTGGCATGGCCTAGGACAACAGTTCCCAAACTATGGTATGCATATCCTTGTGTTATGCAAGACATCTCTGGGGGGTATATGCAGGAGAAATTGTGTGAATGGTGGATTTAATTTTCATTAAAATAATTGTCATTTAAAGGGTTAAAGTATGCTGGTGGGGATATGCAGGCAGCTGATGAATCTGGAAAAGGGTATAAAATAAGAAAGTTTGGGAACCTCCGATTTAGGAAATCTGAAGTTATAATTTCACCTTGGCAAACAACTTTAAACTTGATGTTGGCACAACTGGAAAAACTCTTCGTTTCACTTTGCAATGTAAATTATTTTATATCCCATCTGCAATCAATCTGAAGTGCATAATATAAAATATATTTATTTAGCCCCACAGACATGCATTAGGTCATGCCAAATACCTACAGTCCCTCCCTCAGTTTAAAAGGCTGGCAAGAATGGGGGAGGAGAGTAGGGAAATAGACTATGGCAGTGGTTCCCCAACCTTTTTGGACTCTAGGCACCTCCTTAAAACAGAGGCTGGGCAATAGGGGTGAAGGATCATCCAGGTAGGGACAGGCCTGAGCCTAGCTTATCCTCATACCAGACTTATCTCATACCTCTGGCACCCTTCAAAAGATCTAGTGGCACCCCAGCATCCTGGTTGAGAATCACTGGACTAGAGCCTCAGCATGTTTAACACCAGGCAGATAATCTTTTTGTTCTGGGGTGTTTACAAAACAAAACAAAATTGGATGGAGGGCTGAAGTAGAGATAAAGGTATAGCACACAAGCAAATGACCATGGCTTTGTTAACTGCATTGCGTCACATCACTGGTGCCCCTCCGTCTCCTCTCTGCATCCCTCTGCTTCTGTCTGCCTAAACTAAACTAATTAATCTGTGGAAGGAGACAGCAGAGTGTAGCTGCTGCTTTGAAAGTAAAAGATGTTTAACCTTTTTATGGAAGACTCATCTCTCTGATGTTACACCTAATGCTAGCTCTGTATATGCATCTAATTTTGAACACCCTCCTCACCCTATGAAAGCCAGAATTCAACTGACGTACCTCAAAGTAGCACGCAGTGTTTTATCCTGCAAGAAAATTATTTTTCTAGCAAACAGAAAAGTAGGCAAACAAGAAAAATAGGATTGGAAGCTGTGGAGAAGGGAGGGTTAAAGCATTCAGAAAATTTCAATTTGTCAGTTATTTTCCTAATTATTTTGCCTTGTCACGTGACCCAAATTGCTTGGTATAGAAACTGTGAACTTGTCCTGCTAACACTCTAATCTCTGACTAACTTCAGAAAAATTCAGGAGGGGAAGAATTTAGTCATGAGATGATTTCACACACTACGGTGCACATGGTGAATGCCTAATATAGGAAGCTTACTAAACCAGAGGACCTTTGGTTTCTGAAGGTGGGGGCAGGGAAGGAACAAGGCAGAAAGCAGGTGTGGAGCAGGTATCTGAATGAGAGCTGACTTCCTCAATACCTTTCTAGGGCACCGCATATCTAGCATGGATAAGTGAAAAGTGCCTTGTGTAGAAGAGGTAAAGGAGCTCAAATCTTCACCACTTATTCACATTTCAAATAACCTCTATTAAAATTGACAAAAAGGAACCAATACATTACTTGCTATGTGGTGTTTGAGGGGCAAATTCATTCATTCCTCCTTCCAGCAGACTGCACTTATAAACCATTTCTCTTTCCACATCAAGCATTAATCATCTGGAATCAATTGTTAGCCATTACAGGCCTAGGTCACATTTGAACCAGACCTAAGTGCGCATGGCTCCATGTCCCATCATTAACTACGAAGACATCTCTGATGACTGGAGTGTCTAATACTTTGTGACGGGCTTTCAGGTGTTCACACTCCCTATGAAGGATTAGACAGGGAGTTGGATGTCTGGAAATTCAGAGCTAAAACATTAAGCTCTGCCAGCGATTCACTGCATGACCCAGAGCAAATAATTTCTGTCATCTTTCTCCCAGCAGAAATGTGGATAATGGTACTTTTACTTCAGTGCTATAGTGGATATTAATCAGTGTTTGCACACAGTTTTCAACTTGATAACACCCTGCAAGTACCGCTATTCTTTCAGCAGTCTCTTTACTAGCCTCTTTATATACATGCATATTCTAAGCCATGAACAACATGTGCTCCTGGCAGCTGTGGGGGGCACAGCAGGAGCACAGCGGCAGTAAGTGGTAAGTGGCAGTAAGGGTGGGGGGTGGCGAGCAGCAACCAGGGGTCAGAGACCACCCACAGGTGCTGCCAGCTGCAGCAGTGGTGGCAATCACAGACCACCCACAGACACCACCAGCAATGTCAGCAGCAAGGTGGTAAGCGGGAACCACCCACAGGCGCCACTGATAGTGTCAGCAGCACCTTTTTGTAGGGGGTGCACTGCCAAGCTCAGGGGTGCATGTGGATCTGTGTTCATCCCTTACGCGTCACCCCTGTTCTAAACTCAGGCTCCTTCTCATTCTTTGGGTGCACGTGGCTGATCATTATGTAACCCACTAGAAATCTGGTTATCTTACTCTAAGTTGGGGTATTTATAGACGTGTTCCAAGCAGGGTGGGGGGGCGGAAAGGGGTCGTGCTGTGCTAATTAAAAGTGTCCAAGCATCACATGCATCAGCATGCCCACACTGGAAAAAATGGTGGCAGGGCACTTTGAACTAAAGTTCATTCAATAAGCTTTAGTTCAAAGTGCCCCGCTGCCATTTTTCAGCATGGGGACGCTGATGCATGTGATGCTGGAAGCTGCTGGAGTGTGGCAATTTCCATGCTTCAATAGAATTGGTCGAGTCTGCTCTGATCCACTGGATTTACAGCATGTTAGAACAGCCTCCCTGCAAGTGCCCTTGGTCCTTAAGTTTTATTACACTTTGTTATCCCATCCCAGGGCAAACACA